GAACTCAACCTGGGCCTGCCAGGCAACAATGACAACTACAACCAAAAAATAGCCAGGCATTGGTGGCAGGCGCCTGTAGTCCCAGCTACTTGGAAGGCCGAGGCAAGAGAATCACTTAAGCCCAAGAGTTTGCGGTGAGCTGTAACACCACAGCAATCTACCACCATGGCAATCTAGTCTCAATGGCTTAAGACTCTGTCTCAAAATTAAACAAAGGAAAAAACTTGTTCATCTATAGCTGGGCATTGTGGCAGGTGCCTGTAGTCCCAGCTCCTTGGGAGGCTGAAGCAAGAGAATTGCTCAAGCCCAAGAGTTTGCGGTGAGCTGTGGCACCACAGCAATCTACCACCATGGCAATCTAGTCTCAATGGCTTAAGACTCTGTCTCAAAATTAAACAAAGGAAAAAAAAACCCATAACCCTCCCCTGACCAACTGAACAGAACTCTTTGGCCAAAGACACCCCAGAAAATGTTTTAAAACTAGGTTTCCTAGTCATAATGAGACAGGATGTGGGTCAACAGCCCCCTCACTCACTAATTGTCACCCCTCAGCAGCCCCTTACTCACTAACTGTCGCCTCTCAATGGCCTCTTACTCACTGTCACTTCTCAATAGCCCCTACTCACTAGTTGTCACCCAACTGTTTTCCTAAGAGTTAAACAGGTATCAGCTCTGGAAAACAAAGAATGGAAAACTTCCCCGATTTCGATCAACCATCTGACACTGGGCTAGGCTCCCTTTTCTTGACTTCAACATGACAGCTAACCAGTTCACAAGGCATTTCTTCCTGCTATCTGATCACTGCCACGGACTGCGTCAGGCTTTCTAAGAAATCCATTTTCTCAGTTGGATCTAGAAATTTTATCTTTCCCAGATTAAGATGTATAAAACTCAGAATGACAAACCCTGAATGTATAATGGGACTCCATCTATTCCTAGGGCCAGGCACGTATGTGTGAGAGTGTGTGTGTGTGGTGCTATGACCTCTCCGCAGGACAACTGTATGGGAGCTCAGTTTGAGTGCAGAGGCTGCTTCTTGAACCTGGATACACGTGAGGCATTTGAGCTGGGAGTACTGCCCAGGTCTGAATGAGTCGGGAGTGCTTGCAACATGCACTGCATTTTGCCAGCCTCAATGACATAGTCCCAAGCACCCCAATTTGGAAGAGAACTATAGACCATCTGGCCTTTATGACCTGATGGAGATGTGATAAAGTGTGCCTGTCATTCTCAAGTCCTACTCTACATTATTGTGGTGGTTTGAAATCTTATTCATATATCGGTTTCATCTCCTGCAATCCTAACAAAATGTTAGCTAAATTCTAAAACAAACATTACTTTTTTTGTAGTGCAACAACCTTGCCCTTAAACTTGTAAATCTCTTTCTTGTTTAAGGCCTACTGATCTGTTTTCACATATCATTAATGGTTTGTAATCTCCTTTAAATGAAGCAAAATTAATGAAAGGCCAATTTACTGCACATCTCTTAGTTTTGAAATAGCCTCTGCCTTCAATGAAGAAAGTTGGCAGTAGAACATTGGGCAGGTTGTACCACAGATCACAGTGTGACTTCAAGGTCATTTGAGCTACCTTCTCGTACCACAGACCACACATGGGTCAGAGCTAGGGTTAGGGCTAGAATTTGTGGACCAGGAACGCTGAGGGTCTGCCCACCCTGCTTGTGGTCCCACGGGGGAGTTCCCTGGCTCCACCCTGGCCCCCATCCTCTGGCCTCCTTGAGCAGGACAGAAATATGGTCTCTCTGAGGACATGTTCTTCCTCCCTCCATCACATTCCCTCTCTGTCCACTGCACTTCTGGTCACTGTCCTGGCAGGACCTTTCTTGGCAGCGGAGAGGTTTGTGAGAGAACTTCAAATATCCACATACTGGAGCCTCGTTCTTGAATTTAGATTCATAATGTCAACTGTAAAGGACCTAAACCCTGTAAAGTAAATTAAAGAGACTTATTGTGCATCAAATATGCATGACTGTTATGGGGCGAAATTAGGGACTCCCGACTCAAATTAGAATTTCAAAAGGAGTCTTTTATTTACTGTGGGGCTGTCTCAGCAAAGTCTAAAGCAGACTAAGTGAGGGAGCATTGAGGGGTCTGAAGTTGGGGTTATTTTAGTTTAAAAGTTGGCAACGAGACAAACAGGTGGTCTGAAAGTTAGCAATTAGAAGTAAAAAGAAAGTTGGCAAAAGAAGCAAAAAGCGAGCACGGGGTCACGATGACCTCTTTTACAGAAGTGAACTTTGCAATTTAGCGGTTTAGTCAATAGGTAACATGAAGGGCAGTTAGATAACAATAAAGTAACATAGTGCAGATCTAGCAACTAATGGGTAAATGAAACAATTTGTCACAGCACTTAGCTCATTAACTCTCGTGATGGCAGTTCTTGGCCCATTCGTTCTTATCTTGTCCTCTTCCGGCCTGATCTGGACCGATTTAAGAGTAATGCTACTTGGCATCATTTCACTTACCTCTTTTTCCCCTTCCTCCTACGGGTGGTGGTGGTGGTGTGAAGCCGTTGTGAGGCCGTCGGCATCCATCTTATGGGGGTGATGAGGTAGTAGGCGCCCATGAGGCTGCTGGCACCCATCTCATGACCATGGCCTGGATAGGTACTCCCAAGATGTTTTGAGCAAATGGTCTCACCATGGTTGGTTACACTTTGGTTTTATACATTTGAAGGAGAAAGGAATTACATATAAAATCATAACGCAGTTCCTGGAAGGCATACCTTGGTTTGGCCTGAAAAAGCAGAACATCTCCAAACAGAGGTTTACAGATTAGAGGTGGGTTTAAAGATTCTTTGATTTACAGTTGGTTAAAGAAATGAAGCTTTTTCTAAAGACTTGTATTTTTTTTTTTTTTTTTTTTGAGACAGGTTCTCACTCTATGGCCCTGGATAGAGTGCCCTGGCATCATCGTAGCTCACAGCAACCTCAAATTCTTGGATTCAAGAGATTCTCTTGCCTTAGCCTCCTGAGTAGCTGGGACTACAGGTGTGCATTACCACACCTGGCTAGTTTTTCTATTTTTAGTAGATAATGGGGTCTTACTCTTGCTCAGACTTGTCTCAAGCTTCTGAGCTCAAGCAATCCACCTGCCTTGGCCTCCCAGAGTGGTATGATAACAGGAGAGGGCCACCATGTTAACCAAAGGATCTGTTGATCAGAGACAAAGCAACGGCACCAAATATTCAGACTCAAGTGATCTGTGAAGTAAATTAGTGACTTGCAAGTGTGATTTAACTTTTGTCTTGAGTGGCCTTAGGCCTATGGATGATTTGCTATCTTATTGTTAAAAAGAGCAACTCCAGAAGGGAGGGAGGTGTGTCTAGGTTAAGGTGACCAGATTTTAACACTGGTAAAGCGGGACACCATTGATGGGGGTCTGGGGTGGGGGTGTTCTTAATTAAAAATTTGGTCTATATGGAGCAACAAAAATTTTCATAGAATGCAAAAATAGTATTGCAATATATATTTTTTAAATTTCAACATAAGTACAATTTACAAATATAATACATTAAAGAAAAATTATGTACAGGGTGGTGCCTGTGGGTCAAAGGGGGGGGGTAAGGAGTTTACATTATTAGCCTTTTCATTTCCAAATGAAGTTACGTTAACCTCTCCATTCCCAAATGGAGTTACATTAACCTTTTCAGCAGCCGAAAACCCGTTGTCCCGCCGTTCCCTAGCTTATCGCACATTCTTTCCAAAAATCGGGACTTTTTAAAAACGCCGCGGGACACGAGACAAATTGTTAAAAATCGGGACTGTCCCACCAAAAGAGGGATGTCTGGTCACCTTAGTCTAGGTGTGTCTAGCCTCCCCTCTTCTCTTAGCAGGCAACTCAACTTTAAAGCTTTTCTGGGGTCCCCTTAGCCAAGAGGGAGTCCATTCAGTCAAGGCAGGGCTTAAGATTTTTGGTTCATAATTAATTATGCCAAATACTAATTGGCTATTTTACATATCTTAGCCAGATAACAGAAGGGCTCAGCATCCAAGGGTCCCTAAACGAAAACACTGACACCACATTTGCTTTACTGTGATCCTTTTCTTGGGAGTCATTCTTATTCCACTGATTTCCGTTCCTGTATATGGGTGGCTATCATGGAATACTAGGCCTCAGAGTAACCTTGGAAATGGACAAAGTCCAGGTCTTCCAGGGAAAGACTCTGAATTAAATCCTGGGGTGGGGGGCCCCGTTATGGCCTACCCCGGCAGCCCAGCCTGCCAGAGCGCGCCGGAGTCCACAGCCAAAAGGCTGAGCGACGCCAGGAGGGAAGGAGAAAGAAGAGCTTTCCTGTTTAGGATCTGGCTTCTTTCCCAAGTACTCTGTCAGTGCCCTGCCACCTCGCAGAGGCTGGATGGGGGCAGGGCTGGGAGGCACTAGCCTGACCCCGGCCTCTGGGTGCTGGGCGCCCAGACTTTGCTCCTGGAACCGCCCTGCTTGGAGGCGGCAATGCAACCGACCACTTGTAGCCGGAGGGGCGGGGAGACAGCGCCCCGCCTCCAAGAGGGCGGGACGGAGCCGCCCAGAGACTGCAGATAGGTCCTGACAATCACCGTCGTGAATTTCAGATTCAAAGTTCTGTTTCGCGGAGACCTGTCCACAGAGTCCACGGCACCCTGCACCATGCCGATGATACTGGGTTACTGGGACATCCGCGGGGTGAGCGAGTGTCCGCCTGGGCAGTGGCACCGGGGCGCAGCAGCCGGGAAGAGTTGAGCACCTGGGGTTCTGGGGATGGTGGCACTTCAGGGTACTGGAGCCCCTGCAGGTCCCTCTCACGAGGGCCTGCACGTGCCCGTACCGGACGGGCCCATGTAGGTGTAGGGTGGAGGCTCTCGTGACTCAGGTAAAATCACGAATCGGGGTCCCTCCATCTCTGACCTGGGCCATCTCTCCCAGCTGGCTCATGCCATCCGCCTGCTCCTGGAATACACGGACTCCAGCTATGAGGAGAAGATGTACACGATGGGGGACGGTATGGCAACCTCTAGTCCGGACCTCGGTCCAAGTGTGCTGAGTTGACAACCAGGCAGCTCACGCCACGGCCCCTTGTGCTCCCTGTGCACCTGCTGGCGCTGCAGCCTGGCCTTCCCTAAAGCTCTTTTGTGGAGACAGTCAGGTCTTCTGACAGGACACTGGAAGGGGATTGCTGGGCCCTGGTGCAGGTGGTTGGCTGGGTTGCCCCTTAAAATTTGTCCGTGGAAGCCTTAGTGGTACAGAGTCCAGAGCCCTTACGAGCATTCTTCACCCCACCCCTCACCTTTGTAATGGGGAGGAAGTTGTTCAGATTCTAGATTCAGCTGTCTGAGGGGGTTTTGCCTCTGACTCCCTGGGAGGGTCCCCGGGAAGGAGGGTTGGACTCTGGGGAGGTTTGTTTTCACTCATGTTCTCCACCACAGCTCCTGACTATGACAGAAGCCAGTGGCTGAAGGAAAAATTCAAGCTGGGCCTGGATTTTCCCAATGTAGGTTCAGGGGAAGGGAGGGTTTGGGGGAAGGTAAAGGTGTCCCTATGTCCCCAGGTGAAACCGCGGTTTCAGACCAGGTGCGTTCTCCTCCATTACTGTCATCCCTGGTCACTACGCCGCCTTTCCATGATGTCCTGTTTCCAGGTCACTCATCCCTTTGACAGTATTCTTACATAGGGCCTGCGGTGGGCAGGCACAGTGAGTGCCAGGTGTCACACTGCCCTTGCTTAAGGGAAGGGATGCTGGGAGCCTGGTGTCCCACATGAACTCCCTGGTCACCCATGCAGCTGCCGTACTTAATTGATGGACCTCACAAGATCACCCAGAGCAATGCCATCCTGCGCTACATTGCCCGCAAGCACAATCTGTGTGAGTGGGGCTGGCTGCAGGCTGGAGTTGGGCAGTGTCCATCCCCCCAGGCTTGTCCTGGGTGAGATGCTGAGAGGGAGTTTCTGTTGTGTGGGTGCCAGGTGGAGAGACAGAAGAGGAGAAGATTCGTGTGGACATTTTAGAAAACCAGACTATGGACACCCGCCTGCAGCTGGCCCTAATGTGCTACAGCCCTGACTTTGTGAGTCTCCTCTACCCTTGGGTGAGGCAGAGTTTGTTTATTGGTTTCTTTTTCAAGACATGGGCTCACTCAGTTGCCCTAGGGTAGAGTGCCATGGTGTCACAGCTCACAGCAACCTCAGACCCTTGGCCTCAAGTGATTCTCTTGTCTTAGCCTCCCAAGTAGCTGGGATTACAAGTGCCTGCCACAACACCTGGCTATTTTTTAGAGATGGGGGTCTTGCTCTTGCCCAGGCTGGTCTTGAACCTGTGAGCTCAGGCAATCCACCCACCTCAGCCTTCTGAAGTGCTAGGATTTCAGGCATGAGCCACTGTGCCCAGCCCTGAGGTGGAGTTTGCATCAGGAGCCAGGGCTCTTACATTCCCATCTCTCCTGGATCTATTTTCTATCATTGCTACTTATTCTCCAAGCTATTTCCTATATTGCCAAAGCCCCCAAACCACATCAAATAAAACCATTTATTCCAGTTTCTGCCAATCTTTGCATGGAGTCCTGACTCCCTGGGTTGGAAATTCAGTTTTTAGATAGTACTGTTTACTTTCAGAATGCCCTCCATCCCTGACCTCTGAGCTCTGCTGTGGGCCTTCTCTCCCACGTGGTTCACCCCATGCACCTGCTTCTGGATCACACAGACTCAAACTAAGAGGAATACAAGTACACGATGGGGGCATGTCATGGCACCCTCATATTCAGATTTATGTTCCACCGTCTCCCAAGTGATGTCTTGACATGCTCAGGGATCACTGCATTTCCTAATAGGAAGCTCAGTGTCACTCAAGGGACCTTGTACCTCCCCTTTCTTCTTCCCAATCTGAAATTTTCCTCATCTTTCAAAAACTACTGAACTCTCCATTGCATTCTTCTGCTACCCCACTGGGTAGAACTTTCGACTTCTTTCCCTGAACTCTTTTTATTCTTTATTGTTGTCATTCTGACTCACATCTCACTGTAGACCCTACCAGGTACTCAGGGGACTGAGCCACAGGAGGCTTGTTTGGAGATCGGATTCAGGGACAGTCTTAATCCTTTTTGCCTTATCATCTTGGATGGGGTATGGTATCTAAAATGAGGCTAATCGATGCTGATGTATTAATAGAAGCCTGGACAGTGACTTCCCTTGTGGGGAAGATGGCTGCTCACCGGTGGTCAGCAGGGGCTACACACAGGTATGGGAAGTCCTGCCTCTGTGTATGGAGTGCTGGTGTCTGAGAGTGTTGACAGCTGTTCTCTGCCACAGGAGAAACTGAAGCCTCAGTACTTGGAGGGCCTCCCTGAAAAGATGAAGTTCTATTCAGAGTTCCTGGGGACACGTCCATGGTTTGCAGGGAACAAGGTAAAGGGGCAGGCAGTGGGGAATGAGAGTTGTCATACTTCCTGCATCCCAGAGCTCCAGCCCCCTCATCCTTGGCCTTCTGCAGATCACCTTTGTGGATTTTCTCACTTACGATGTTTTTGAGGGGAATCAAATGTTTGAGCCCAAGTGCCTGGATGCGTTCCCTAACCTGAAGGACTTCATGGCCCGTTTTGAGGTGATGTTCCCCACCCTCCTCCTCCCTCCTCCTCTTTCACGTCCCTTATTTCACTTCCTTTTCATGCTTCCCTCTTTCTTATGCTAAAACAAAGAATAACTAGCATTTATTGATCACTGGCCTTATGCCAAGATATGTGGCCAGCATCTTATATCTCTTATGTCAAATTTAACCTTTATAACACATGCAGAAGGTTGATAGAATTATCACGTCCACTTTACAGATCAGGAAACTGTGAATGAGGGTAAGCACTTGCTCAAGGTCCCCGAGTCAGTCAAGGCTGTGCAGTGGCTCTCTGTCAGCCTATAGCTTCTATGGGCAGCAGTCCAGGCTCTCCCTTTTTTGTCCCCAAGGGAAGAGTCTCAGGCCCTTGTCTACCCTGGGTTTCATAGCCAGGGACACTATGAGAGAGGCAGAAATTTTTAGGAGTATACATGTGGCTCCCCTTAGTGGACAAGGTCAGACTGAGGTCTAGTACCAAAGACACAGACAGTGTTTATAACCCAATCTCCCCAATCCTTAGCACCAATTGAATATCTATCATGAGAACTACTGAGATCCCAGGGCTGTGGCGGGGGCTAATTAGAGTGCACATGTGGGTGTGCATGTCTCAGGAGTTGATCTTGATGTGTTCTGTGGTGGAGCCATGTCTTCTTCCTCCTTTTCATCCTCTCTCTCTTCCTCCTGGTTTCCCAGGTGTCTATCTGTGAGATGGGGTAGAACACTTATTTTAACTCATTCCCTGACACTCTCCTCTATATATAACACTGTTTCAGTCATAGAGGTATTTGCAAAGATAATCCCGGGAACAGGAGCTGTGAGTTACAGGCATACCTGTAGTTAGGGAATTTTAGACACATATACCTCTGAGGAACTGCAGTAGAACCTGGGTTCTGGAGCAGAACCTGTACCTCACCTCAGGGCTAATCACCTATCATCCTTAGTCAAATTATTTGAGAGCAACAAATTCTACTTTAGGACAGATCTGGGGATCAAGTCCATCAGGTCATTCACTGTGTTTTCCTTTCCCTTCCACTCAAGATAGCTGCTGTCTCAGCTCGTTCTCATCAGCTCTGGTTCTGGTCCAGGCGGCCTTGAGGATTATGCAAGAGTTAGTGGGAGGAGAGAGCAGGGAGACAGCTGAGGGCTGCAGCCTGTGACCTGCCTGAGCCTGGCCCTGTGGGTACACGAAGCCCTTGATCTCCTTGAACCTTTAGAAATTATCTGGGCACTTTGTCCTGGTAGAATCGTGCATAGTGCACCTGAGTGCCATATGACCTGGTCAGGGGTAGCAGGGCTATAGGAGAGGTAGGTTGGGGCACAGTGAGATTGGACTCAGATACCAGGTAGAGAGTTATGGCATTTCTGCTAACAGGGAATGATTCAGCCTGGCCCGGCCTTCCTTTTGCTGGCCCACATCCCCTCTCCACTTTTATTGAGGTTTTGTTGATTCATTGTGAGATCTGGGCTCCCATGCAGGCTACACTGGCCTGTTCTGAGCCCCTTTGTACTGCAGGAGGCCCTCCCCTGTGTGGCAAAGCCAGGCAAGCCAAGATCCTCCCTGTGACAAAGAAGAATGTTTGTGCAGACAGGAAGTGACAGGACCTCATTTGGGGGAGTGGGAGAAGAGGGGAATTTGGCAGAAAGCCCAGAACTAGAGAGGGACAGAGCCAGGACGCTTGCCATCCCTGTCCCATTACCAGCTGTGTGAGCCTGAGGAAGGAGCTGAAGCTCTCTGTGCCCCTGAGTTTCCCTTCTGATACCTGGTGATAGGAGAACTGACCTTGCAGGTAGATGGGGGGATTTCCTAAGCCTACATTGGAATATCTGGTGGATAGAGAGCAGCCAGCACACTAGTGTCTCTGTTAGTGTAGCTGTTACTCAGAGCTGCCACAGGACAGACAGGAAGAGGGCAGGGAGCTGAGCTGGGACCCTAGGAGACTGGTGATGCTCCTGCACCTGAGCCCCCGAGGGAAGGCTGGGTCGGGGCCCTGCAGTGCTGGGCCTGCTGTGGGGCTGCTGCAGCCATCATGGGCAGCAGACCCTGAGCTCTGGCTTCATTTTCCCCCTCTCAGGGCCTGAAGAAGATCTCTGCCTACATGAAGTCCAGCCGCTACCGCCCAAAGCCTCTGTATACAAAGATGGCCATCTGGGGCAACAAGTAGGGCCTTGTCGGGCCAGGAGATGGCAGCGAGGAGCCAGTCCTCAGCCTGCTGCCTGGGGCCCTGGAGAACAGTGGACTCTGTACCCTGTTTCAGCCTTCTCCTTCCTCTGCCCCTCTCTTCATTCCTTTCTCATCTCCAAGGCCTCATTGGTGCTCTCCACCTCCCCCACGTCCTGTCCCATCCAGGCTATTTCAAGCCTCTGCTCCCCACTTTCCTCCAGCAGTGTC